TAAAAGTTTTGTTTTCGTAGTAGATTTTGGTTCTTTTTTTATTAGAATGTGTTAGAGTTTGGATGTCTTCTAAAAGTTTAGTGTATTCTGCGGTTCTCTGTTTCTTGGCATAACTGGCATGTTTTATAAAGCTGCCCCTTATGACCGCTTTGTGCGCAAGCCAAATTTGTTTGAAGGTGGAGTCAGCGGTTGTGTTTTCAGCAATATAGTTTTGTAGATCTTTTTTTATTTGGGAAACTATAGAGGGGTCTGTTAGGAGAGATTCGGTAAGTCTCCATGTACCCGACCCTTTGTTAGCAAATGATTCTTTAAAGCTGAGTGTGATGGGAGCATGATTGGATCACGTCATTACCCCAATTGTGGCTTCTTCTATCTGGGGCATTGATGTAGCCGGAATGAGGAATCTGTCTATTCGCGAGTAGCTGTTATGAGCCACCGTATGGCATGTATGGTCTATTTCTGTTGGTTGGAGAATGCGCCATGGGTTTACCATGTGGTAAGCAGCGAGAGTAGAGCATATTTTTGTTGTAAGTGCTGTTCTGTGTTTGAGCGTGCAACTGGAAATCTGTGCAGTGGTAGAAGAGTCGATTCTACTGTCTAGTAAAAAATTGGTGTCGCCTCCAATGATTACCCCGTGTTTGTACATATCTGTTAATGCTAGAATCATTTGCAAGGACTCATTTTGATTTTCATTTGGACTGTATACATTGTTTAACATACATTGCAAAATTAAATATCAACCCTTTTTATCACTTATTTTCCGCACCAGTGAGAATGCTATATCTTTACTTATCAGAGTGGATAATCCTTTTTTTTAAGCTAAGTAACATGTGGAAGTCGTGTGGGTACCATTTCGATGTGAATTTGCGTCTGGAGTTCCATGTGAAATGTGTCTCCTGAAAGAATGCCACTTGGGCCCCACATTTCTTTGCCTCCTGTATGGCCAGTCGCCGTTTGTTAGGGGAATTAAACCCCTTGGCATTTATTGATATCATTTTAATTACCATTGGGTTAGTGTGTATTGTGCTGTGCTAAATATTTGCATTTCGGTATTTGGTCCCGGGTGTCCCAAGCTCTCGGTAAACTAGCATAGTAGGTGCATTCTGTTGAGTTGACACACTCAGTGGGGGTTAGGGTAAAAGAACGGGGGAAAAACTATATACAATGTTCCGTAAGTCACTTCTCAGTGACATGTGGTGCCCTGGGCAACTGAGAAGTAGGGCTACTGGAGCCTTGGGGGTATACTTCTCAGGGTTAGAGTACTGAGATCCCGACAAGTAAGAGATTAACAATAGTCTGAGTCTGAGTGTAGTGCATCCGGGTGGAATCCACCCGCCGCGGCTAAGGCTTTTGGCCTTCTAGTAAACCTTTTCAATGTGTCCTTAAGGTAAATAACATTTGTACATATAAACCAAGAATAGAAAATTGGTGTAAACCTGTACGAGAAGTCCATTTGGGTGGTGTGGCGTTGTTCTACAGGTCTCTCAGGTTGGTGATGTCTCTGGATCAGCCGTTGCATGAGATGCTTGGGGCACTTTTGACCATTCTTTTGGGAGCGTCTTTGGTGCCCGGGTTGTTGCTTGTTTTTTCCGGGGGCTGCTGGTTGGGAGCGTTATGTTCCACTCTTGCAGCATTCTTTTGCCGTCTTCTGGGTTCATAATGGGTTTGTCAATGCCGTTCCTTTTAATCAGTAGTTTTGCGGGGAAATCCCATTTGTAGGGGATATTTGCATTTCTCAGCGCTTCTGTTATTGGTGCAAAAGTACGGCGTTTGATCATGGTTGCTGAGAAGAGGTCTGTGTGAATAGCTTGATGTTGCTGTGTGTTTCCGGCCATTTGCTCGTGGTTCTGGCAGTTTGCATGATTCTGTCTTTGACAGTGAAATGGTGAACTCTAGTGATGGTGTCTCTTGCGCTGTCAGGGGGAAGGTGTTTAGGCTTGGGGAGCTGGTGCGTTCTGTCTAGAATTAAGTCAAATTCAGACAAGGAGGGGATTAAGGCCTTGAACAAGTCTTTGACATACCTGGGTAGGTCTTGTTGCATAATAGTTTCTGGTATGCCCCTAATGCGGATGTTGTTTCTTCTACTCCTGTCTTCTTGATCGGCCACCTTTTCTTCCAGTGCTTTAATTTTGTTTGTGGGGTATAGGGGTATTTACCCTTCGTTGTGCGCGTTTTCTGCGATGTTTGAAGGTTTTGTCATGCTGTTAAAGGACCACTATAGTGCCAGGAAAACATACTCGTTTTCCTGGCACTATAGTGCCCTGAGGGTGCCCCCACCCTCAGGGTCCCCCTCCCGCCGGGCTCTGGGGAGAGGAAGGGGTTAAACACTCACCTTTCTCCAGCGTCGGGCGGGGAGCTCTCCTCCTCCTCTCCGCCTCCTCGACTGAATGCGCATTTGCGGCAGGAGCTGCGCGCGCATTCAGCCAGTCTCATAGGAAAGCATTCATAATGCTTTCCTATGGACGCTTGCGTCTTCTCACTGTGATTTTCACAGTGAGAAGCACGCAAACTCTTCTAGCGGCTGTCAATGAGACAGCCACTAGAGGCTTTAGAGGCTGGATTAACCCATTTATAAACATAGCAGTTTCTCTGAAACTGCTATGTCTACAAAAAAATGGGTTAACCCAAGCTGGACCAGGCACCCAGACCACTTCATTAAGCTGCAGTGGTCTGGGTGCCTAGAGTGGTCCTTTAAAGCTGTTTTAGTGCTGCGGTCCGGGAGAGCTCCAGTTCTGCACGTCTGCTCACATGTGCGGCTAGGACACGCCCCCCAAGAAGATTATATTTTGCATCTGCATCATTCTCTTGGTATAATATTTCAACTGCTAGTGTGTTAGCGGCTAATATAGAAGTTCTTCCTTTTTGGACCAACTATATTAATAAAATTTGCTTTAGTATGTGAGATTTTACATTAATCAATAATGTTGTAAATAAAATGAATATAAAGTAGGTTTTGTGATGACCTTAAACTACAAACTAGTAGAAATCACCGTCTCAGAGCTCATGATTGGTGAGAATATTGTGGAACTGCTATGAAGATATAAGGAAGGAAAGGCAATGTAAACAGAAGAAACTAAGGAGAATGTCATAAAGACAACCTCAAAAAGCTGGGGATAAACTAAAGATTTCTCAGTGAGGGAAATGACCCTCTAAAGAATTAAACATAAACTAGTGGATGACCCCAAGTAAGAATTCATGGAAGGTCAGACACTGAAGAGGAATACATACTAAATATAAAAAAATTACATACATCAACATTCCAAAAAACAAACAGAATGGATATAAATAAATGTATACACATATGTGAAACAATCTAAGTGGAAAAACCTATGCTCCTGCATGGATCCAAATCGGGGTCAACGAGACCTCAGAAAAACAGGTTACTAATTAACTGTGGATGATTCTGAGCAATGTTGGCATATAGTATGAAAAAGCAACAAATGGGATATATATAAACTAATGTAACAAATGTTGTGAGGGCAAAGCTCCACATAAGTCCATGCCTGAAACTGTAAATCTGCATGCTGTTAGACTCAAAAAAACAAGCAGTCTGCTGACATGTGTTAGCCTGATCCAATCACAGTGCTTCCCCATAGGATTGGCTGAGACTGACAAAGAGGCAGATCAGGGGCAGAGCACGCATGATTCAAACACAGTCCTGGTCAATCAGCATCTCCTCATAAAGATGAATTGAATCAATGAATCTCTATGAGGAAAGTTCAGTGTCTGCATGCAGAGGGAGGAGACACTGAATCACAGGATGCTGTGCACAGTGCTGCCCTGTGCTCTGCTGATAGCAGATCTGAGTGGATGGAGGCATATTATGCCTCCATCAACTCTGAAGTCCCTTTGGTTCACTCTGAGTGACTGCAACTGGAGGTGTTCCTAGCTTTCAATGTAAACACTGTATTTTCCTAGAAAATACAGTGTTTACATGAGAGAGGCTGCAGGGAGCTATAGTTCTCACCTGAACAACCTCATTAAGCTGAAGTTGTTCAGGTGACTATAGTGTCCCTTTAAGGAAATCATTCTGCTAAGGGATTTTCTATTGCTGGGAGGGAATTCAAGCTTATTCAAGTCATGTGTATACACAAAATATTGTGAAAAGGATCAAGTTGGTGTGTGAACTTTTTTATTTATTTGCCAAAATCTAGGTTTCCTATATAGAAAATTAGCAGGGAGGTTATAGATTACTGATCACCTCAGTTTCCCTGAAATCCATTCTAATTTGACTTAAAAGTGGACTCAGGAGCCCAAATGTCAGATGTGTTTCCCTGAGCAAGACTGAAAGTTATTCGGAAAGCTATATGTTGCACTAAATCGGATTGGGGGAGTCATGCCAAGCAAGCATGATTAATTGTCACACTATAGAATTACTACTATGAAATGTGGTGTGCATAGTGGATTCATGAATTGGTCACCTAGTTAGAGACATTGTTGCTGATTCCAGCATGAGTAAATTTAGATGTGTAAGAATGAGGTTTACAATATGAATTCTTCTTTTGAAGCTGATACTCCAACCATGTTCCTTTGCCAGGTGTGAAATTTTACATACAAATTGCCTATAAGCCAACACAGTAAAGTATATTTAAAAGCAGAAATTACCATAACATGAGGACATAAAATCAGGAAGTATTACTTTACAAAGAGGGTACTAGACTAGCTGGGTAACATACTATTTTCCTTTTCTTATAGATAGTGGATCTTTTTGATATGCTAAGGGACATTACTGTTTGGGGATAACAAAACAACAGTAATAATAATCTAGAAGTGAATAAATCTGGCCTCTTGGTGTATTCAGAACAGTAACATTGTACTCTAAAAGAGGATTTTAAACATGGCTAGTGTAGCTTAAGCCATTTGAAGGCACTATGGAAGCCTGCTATATTATCATGGACATATTTTGTGATCACAAATAGAGATGTCGCGAACAATCCGCGAACTTCCCGCGAATGGTTCGCCACGGTTCGCCACGAACCGTTCGCGGCGAACTCCGGTCAGCTGACACATCCCTGCCAATCTCCGGCAGACCCTCCCTCCCAGACCCTTCCACCTCCTGGACAGCATCCATGTTGAAGCTGCCTTCAACATGGATGCTGTCCAGGAAGTAGGAAGGTCTCGGAGGGAGGGTCTGCTGGAGATTGGCCGGGATGTGTCAGCTGACCGGAGTACCGTGGTGAACCGTTAGCGGGAAGTTCGCGGATGGTTCGCGACATCTCTATTTGTGAGATGTGTGTGAATTAAACATTACATTTGGTATTATATATATTAATGTATTATTTTATTTGAAGTTTATTTCTATATAGCTGGGCTTTTCCCACTATAAATATGGCAAAATTGTTAGTGCTATTGATGTTTAGGGATTCAAAAAGAAAAGATTGAGAACCCGGAAGTGACATCAATATCCACAACGTTGGAATCAGGTGATCGGAAGACCGAGAACCCGGAAGTGACATCAATATGTACGACGTCAGAATCAGGTGATCGGACGGAGAATCACGTGACGCGGAAGTTCGGCAGATCCGGAAGTGATGTTGGACGCCGGTAAACGGCGCCAAACTGGACACCTGGTATGTTATTTAAAGAAAGGAAGACCATCATTCACCACACACTTTGATAAAGACCTGGAGGTCGAAACGTGTTAGTGCTGTGGAATTTTCTATCTGTGCTCCTTCAGACAGAAAAGACCATTGCCGTAACTGCGGAGTGAGTAGGTTTTTCTGTTAATTGTATTCTTTTTATTTGTAGTTGTTGATATAAATAAATTGTCATACATTTTTCTTTTGTGTGCATTTGACTATTCACAAAAAATATATTTCTTTATTAAGTCCTGCCTTTTTTTTTTAATTAAAAAAAAATCAGACCAATTTATTTTCAATTGCATATTGTGCTAAATTGATTATTTTTTGGGAGGTCAAATTTGCTTGGGGGACCAAAGCACACAATTTAAAAATTGTCTTGGTGGTGGCAGCTTTTGACATTAGAGTTAAGTGTGGGTGCTGTTAAGTGGTATTTTTGAGAAAAAAATTTCATTTAAAAGGTAGACAAACTTTGGTGAGCGCACTTGGCGTAGTATGCATTTGTGTCAGGAGGAGTCTTAGAAGTGGTTGCGAAAGACCATAACCTCTACTTGAATAATTAAAGCCTGTTAAAAATAAATACATTAATTTTCTAAAACATCTGGGCATATATAAAAATGAAAAGAAGATAGAAGATATGGAGATATTCAAGCAAAATTCCCACATGTCTCACAGGATACCTTGACTGAGTTAAATCGGAGAACGTACTACATTGGTAAAGATTATGACTTGTTCAACTGCTCTTTGAGCATAACTTATGTTATCATGAATGCTGCTTTTTAAAAAAAAAATTAAATTGACCTGCTTATATTTAGCATCCTGGTACCTATATGTTTTCTCATATGCAATACATATAAGCATATCACAGGAATGTTGTAATATACACTCAGTGAAGAATTTTATCATAGCATTCTATTCAAACGGTATTCTAGAGTACTGATAGTGGGGAAAACACAATGGAAACTAGTAGAATCAGCAGACACATTGCATTGTTAATTCCCCCTCTCTTTACATATTTGCACCACTTTTAAGAACAGCACACTTGGCCAAATCTCTCCCAGCAAAATGCTTTTTTTTTTCTAAACCGTGTACAATCAGGCAGAGAGGGGAGGGAGATTTTGTAAAATATTCTGATGTAAAATGGACCAGTCACCAGTAGAATGTGCCTGCTGGTTGCACTAGTTTCCATGGTGATTGCACCACTTTTGGCACATTAAATCCAGTTTTAGAACTGAACACTTTGATAAATCTCCACCTGAAACATTTAGCACTATAAAAAACAAACAAAGGGAAAAAAAACAAGAACTAAAAACACATGCCAGAGATGATCAAGGTACCATGTTCAGGTTCCTTTCCATACATTTTATAGAAATATGTAAACATCCTTTTGGAAGAACAACAAAATGCTTTTGCTATGTTAGAGAACATTCCAAATCTTATATGAAATTGCTGCTAAAATTCCATATGTGTCTCCTGTTTGATTGCTATCTCTTGTCCTGTTGTGTTTTATACTAATATTGTAAAGCGCTACAGAATCTGTTGGTGCTATATAAATGGCGATAATAATAATAATACCCCACCTCCTATAGACTGTAGGCTTGTTTGAGCAGAGTCCTCTTCAACCTATTCTTCCTATAAGTTTTCGTTAATGTCTTATTTATTGTTAAATCTCCCCCTCTGATAATATTGTAAAGTGCTACGGAATATGCTGGAGCAATAATAATAATAATGTTAAATAGTTATGTGACGTAATATTTTCTGGCTTTTTCAGTAAGTTTTTTTTCATTACAATAAATAAAACTGAATTGTGAACTAAACTTTAATGTTTATTGAATATGCGCATGTATACATAGCAACCTTATCCCGGATAACTCTAATCCTGGATGTTTTATGATTTCTCTGTCTAACAAATAATTAAAAGATTAACATTGTGGATCACTGAGCAATTTGCTGAGTATTACCCAGCTGATGTGTATGCATCTCTTGAGACTGACAACCCTGTCATAGAGACTCCGTATACTGGGGAAATGGAGCAACAGCTGCTGGGCTCATTAGGAACAATTTAAGTCATGGGTTTATCGCTGTGAACAGGAAGCATATTTCAGCTATGCATTTCTTTGTAAACATAGTGTATGCCAAAAGAAGAAATTAAATGTATGCAGTATGTTTCATCAATACATTATTATATGTTACGTGAAATTGTTTTGATTAATGAAAATCTGTCGCTCACCATAATTCCTACTATTATGTTTATTGCCTATATTTAAGCCCTTAAGGACCAAACTTCTGGAATAAAAGGGAATAATCACATGAGGACATCCATTGAAGACACATGGTGAATATTATATAATGTATGTCTGTCTGGCTATCTGTATGTCTGTATTTTCTTTTTATTATGTCTTGCTTTACATCTCCTGTGAGTCAACTCTAGGGAGCACAAACCATTAGGAGAAATTGTATAGTACAAGTATCAAGAGTACTGGAAAGACTTTATATACTCTGTAACTGCCTGTCAGTCAAATTCACTGACTACATAATTTCCCTGGTGCATTTAATTCCAAAGCGCTCTTCCTTTTCAAGAGTAAACCTGAGTGCAATTCAGTCCCTGCTCTCTGAAATTGCACACTTTTTAAAACACACTAGTCTGTCACCCAGTGTTACAAGGTAGGGATTTTGCAGGAGGATATATTGTTTCTTGCATTGCAAGAGTCTAGTTTTGGCCCTTGGAAGATAATGTAGCATTCATAATACGTGTAAAACCTTTTTCCTATCGGGAAACACATATTATTGAAGGCTAACCTTTAAGCTATTTAACCCTTTGAGGCTCTCATTTGCATTTTCCCTCTACCACAAGTGTTGTGCAAGAGCCCTTTGCAACATGGCAGTAATGAAATAAATCAGAAAAATTAGTTACCGCTGTGCAGAAAATATTCCAAAGAAGGGTTATTCGGTATGAGTGGTACCCAATCCACTCAGGGCATAACCCTAATACATTACAATAGAAGCAAGGTAAAGTATTAGACTAGCTATTAAATATGAATTCAACAGTTAACAATGTCTGAGGAAATGGATACTACTTAGCAACAGATTAACTACTTAACTAATTAGTGAACTACCAGGCTTTATTATCATTTCCTAAAATGAAAATCCAAATGACCATTATATATGTTAGCTAACTAAATATAATAATTAAGTCAAAACAGTGGATAGAGTAATATCTCTCAATATGTCTTACTTGCATAACAAGTCCCCTCAAAGAAAACCTCTTGTTTCAATACCTGATTGAAACCTAGACAAATGGGCCTCTCCCGAGGTAGGGTGAGGTTAGACTAGATTGTCAATTGAAAGAAGGCACAGATCACCGTTTTATTCCCTACAACTTGGAATAATATCCTTTTTTTCTAATTAGGAATACTGTTGGGACTCTTTTAATTTGGTTTTGTTTAGTCTCAGATTTTTCTCCCCACTTTTGGGTTACAGGGGAGTATTAACTAAGCGCTTGATACTACTTGTGTTTTTGTTGGTGTTGTGTTGGTGTGCTTGTTTCTGTTTGATACTTCTATCAGTGACGAAGTGAGTGTGAACCCTGTTTAGGTGCATTTCTTGGCCGGGCGACCGCACCCTAGTCATTGATAAGGGGAAGCTGCTTGTATTGTCTATCTGTTGGTATCTCTGTCCTTCACTATGGGGAAAAGAGGTGGGGGGGGGTCTAAAGCAAGCACCCAAACCTCTGGACTGTATGATCAGTAACTTTAAAGGAACACTATAGTCACCTAAACAACTTTAGCTTAATGAAGCAGTTTTAGTGTATAGATCATGCCTCTCAGGTTTTACTGCTGAATTCACTGCCATTTAGGAGTTAAATCACTTTGTTTCTGTTTATGCAGCCCTTGCCACACCTCCCCTGGCTATGATTGACACAGCCTGCAAGGAAAAAAAAATTGGTTTCACTTTCAATCAGATGTAATTTACCTTAAAGGGACACTATAGTCACCAGAACAACTACACCTTAATGTAGTTGTTCTGGTGAGTATAATGGCTCCCTTAAGGCATTTTTATTCAAACACTGCCTTTTCACAGAAAAGGCAGTGTTTACATTGCCCCTAGGGACACCTCCGATTGGCCACTCCTTAGATGGCCACTGGAGGGGCTTCCTGGCTCAAGGCTGCACAGTAAGCAGCCCTGCCGTTCAGCGTCCCCACGCTCTGCATGGGGACGCTGCATTTTCCTCATAGAGATGCATTGATTCAATGCATCTCTATGAGGAGGTGCTTATTGGCCAAAATGGTGTTTGGCCCCACCCCCTTGCGGATTTTAGCAAATCCAATGCTTTCCCCTTGGGAAATCATTGGATTGGCTAAAAATCTGCAATTTTGATGATGTCACCAAGGGGGCGGGACCAGCTCTGGCAGACCCATGAAGAGCTGAAAATAAGGTGAGTTTTAACTAAGGGCTAAGGGGGCAAGCCACCTAAATGGTGGGTTTTCCCTATAGGGTCAGGAAAACATGTTTGTGTTCCTGACCCTAAAGTGAGCCTTTAAACAATTGTATCTCTTGAACTTTAATCACATGCAGGGTCT